CAGTTGATCTACAGCTTAAAGTGCACTCACAAAACCCGCAGACTCTAGACTACTTCAGATTCTTGGGTGTGTGTGCGCAATAAATGAAAAGACTGGCCATATCAATACCTCGATCAGCATTCACGACCAAGGCCGTCAACTGCAGTTCCTCCAACCAACGACAATCCTGCGATAGCAACAGCATGCAAAAGCTATACCAGGCACCATGTGGTCCAAGAAACGCAACAGCTACCAGGGGGGAGCGTTGACATATTTCTCCGACCTCCTTCTCGTCTGCCTTGATATCAGCTAAGAGTTGCGCAGGATCCAGGAAGAACCTCGGGTGACGTCCCCTTCCCGGTGCCAGACCTGGCACCCGTTTCGGCTCCCGTTTGCTCGCGGAACATTTGCAGCGGCGAGTTGCATGGTCAAGTGCCGCTTGGACTCATCGTCCTGGCGGGACTCATCGGCATCGACTCTCAATGCTCCAAGTGCCATCTCAGGTCTTGAGACCCAAAGCCATCCAACTCAAGCGCCATCCTACTCAGGAGGTACTTGGAGCCAACTGCCCAAACCACAATCCGATAGAGACAGAACAATGGCAGCATCCCAACTTGGTGAAAGCCAGCTTGAACAAAGCGCCCAGTCCAACACCCAGTGACGTAGCTCGTACATCTTCAAACCCGTCGACCGACTGTCGACCCGCTCCCTGGGCGAAGTCAAGGGCCACGAATTGGTGGCCACCTCCTGGGCGCAACTCCGCCGTTCCGCCGTGGGCGCGGAGGAAGTGACTCTGGCTGGTCCGGAGGAGAAGGAAGAAAGAGCACCAGCAAACCGACGGATTCTTTGAGCCTCAACTTGGAGAGAAGTAAGTACATAGTATATAATTGTTTAGTGAGCTCAAAGAATCCGTGGCTCTATATATGTTATACAACCATTTATATATTATAGACTACATATGAGCAAAATGGTGGCCTTTGGCTTTAGTGCTCCTCCTCTAGGGTTGGATTGCTGATAACATCTTATATAGAGCAAATAGCTAAGAGACACACTTTCTGCTTTCCTGTCTAAGTAGAAATGGGTTTAGGCCTATAGCCTATAGGTGGTCACCTAGATTTGCAGAAATAAGACTGTCAGTCATCCTCCTCTCTGTGGGAACTGGCTACCTGGGACCTGGGTCCAAGACTAGGGAAGTGTCCGCAGCAGCAACCGAAAGGGAATTCTCATGGCCTGGCCCTGGAACTTCAGGTTTCTAGAGGCACATGTTGGGGATGCAGGTTCATGCAGTTTCAGTCACCAGTGGTTGAGTGGCTCATGTCTGTGGCTTTCCAGGTTTCAACTCCAAGGGGCAGACTCCCGTCGACAGGCAGCCACAGTGGCTGCCTGTGCGATGTCCACAGGAACACTCTCCTGGGTGCAGAGATGATTGGCTCTACACTTAAGAAGCAAGGATGATACAGATCTAAATATATCTAAAGACATAAAGAAAACATCAAACAAACAAACAAACAAACAAACCAACCAACCAACCAACCAGCCAACCAACCAACCAACCCACCCAACCCACCCAACCAACCAATGCACGAACAAACCAACCAATAAACAAACAGCTCTTGGCTGAAAGGTTGTTTCCCCGCTCACTCTTGCCTCTCAGTCATGGCCCTTTTGAGGGGTTGCCACTGGCCATCCTCGATAAATCCGCCTGCCTTTGACCCTCTAACATAAGGGAAAACAGTTCAAAAGCATTTCAATGCTATCCACCCCCCCCCCAAAAAAAAAGACAAGCATCCGTTCTGTACAAGGTATATCTGTCAATCGGCCATGTCTATGACTATGATGACCTCCTTGTACCCAAAAGCTCCGGATGGGTCGCATCGGTGGGAATACGCTTCCGGACCGGGATCCAGCTGACCGTCTCAGCACTGACTGGGTGAATTGCGGGGGGAGGACCAATGTGGCTGTGGGTCGTGACCCACCTGGAACCCGACCAGTCCACCATTTGCCGCGAACCACCTTCCACCAGGTGGTTCGAAGACGGGAGGTCTCCTGCTGCCGACCCACCGCCACTCCCACTGCGTGGAAACACCCCCCAGCGCGGCAAGTTTCCCAAAAAAAGTGTTGATGCAACAGACGTGCAGCAAACTTCTGAGAAATCTTTAGCTGGGTATGGGATTTTCAGCTATGTGTGTGTCCTGAGCTTCTTTGAGCTATGCTTGTTTTCTGAGGAATCCAACAGCCGGTGCTTTGCGTCCGAAGCTTCATAGCGCACGTGCCGCCGCGGAGGCCACCCCTCTGTGTCCTGGGCGAACACAACCGAACGGTTTGGCTGGGCAGCTCATCGGATCTGGATCCGTTTGGAATGCCCAACGGGCTGCCAAAGTATATATATATATACACCTAGAACCGATTTGACCTCTGTTCTGATAGGCAAAAGACCGTATTTTGGGTGGTTGGTGGTCCAAAATAGAGGTCATTCAGGTTCTAAGGTATATTTAAAAAATAAATAAATATATATATATATATATCCGACTAATTAATGACCTTGAACTACTCCTTCTAGACTTCTGGCAGCCCAAGTAGTCCAGGTCCAGGGTCAACAAATTCTCCCTGCCAACTACTTTCAAGCATGTAAGGTAACGAAAAGTGTCACTTTTGAGACACTGGTGATCGTTGATTTTGCTTGCATTAAAACAAGCTCCGGTGTTCTTTAAGTGCCAGCCCTATATATGTTTACGCAGAGACTTGGTTAATCTTCCTCTTCCCCAGCAGGTTGAAAGAACTGTGTCAAAGACATAGACCGGCCAATGGGCCTTTCACCGGCCTTTCGCAGCCCATTTCGCACAAATCACAATATGTTCCCAAGAAACCATTGACATGAAGCCTTGTCTAATGGAAAGCGGCGCTTTTCCAATGGACATGATTGAGAAGGCGGTCTATGAGAAACGATATAACATCGTAAACCCAAATATCACACACACGCGCTGCACTTCCAGCTAGCATTGTCTCAGCGAACGTGGATGTCTTTCGCCGTCCCATCGGCCTTTCAGTTTCGCGAAAGTTGTTTTGACATGTTTTGACATCATCCAAATTCCTTCTCCCCTGGCATGTGCGGACGACGGACGACGAAGAAACCCATCTCCCACTATACTCCGACTCCGATCAACTCACGTACCGAAAAGCAGCCCAGGGTCTGGCGTGGAGGCATTCCCCGAGAGCAACGAGGTGTCCGGTGAAGAGGAATCCAAGCGCAAGGGCAGCCCAAGGCTACCCTGGCTGTTGACTTCCTGGCACTGATTTGGGGATTTTGGTCCGACCCTTGAGACTTTGAATGAGAAAACCCTGCATTTCGGCGGTGATTCAAAAAGCACATGGAAAAAAACACCGGTACTACTTAAATTGCACCAAATGCTGTGTTAAAATAATAGCTGCTGCAACCCTCACATTGCCAGGCCTTATTTTTCACATGGCTCTTCCTCACGCCGACCTCCTCCTCTTTGGGCAGGGGGGGGGCGGCCCCCTCGGGCTGCCTTCGGCGGGGTTGCCGGCATGGCATCGGCACGGACGTGGTTCGTGAGAAAGCACGTTCGTGGCGGAGCCGGCAGAAAGGCTGAAGAAGGGCAAAATAGGGCCAAATGGAGCAGGTGTGGCAGTTAACTTGCTGAGATCTTGCAAACTGGTAATGACTTTTGTTTGGCTGTATTTTGGTAATGTTTAGCATCTTGTTGTCTTCGCACACCTTCTTGTCTTGACCCTCAGGTAGAGGCAAGGGGGAAAAAAACTAAAGGTTTGCCTCTCTTCATGAGAACTTCTGACCGATCATGTTGGTCCACCTTCGCTCTTGGGTGATGGAAACATGGTGTCAAGGCAGGTCTTGGGTAATTTTCATACAGTAGAGAGCTTGCAGTTCTGCATCTCTGGCTGATCTTCTTGCAGTTTCCAAGCGCTGCGGATCGACAGTTGAAAACCTTTGGAGGCATGACATTCTGCAATCATCAACCCCGAAGAAAGACTTAAACAACTTCTAAGGAAGCAAGTGTGGAACTATATATATATATATAGGAACGATAAGAAACTCTATGTCATATTGGGGAACCACTTGAGAAATATTCACCATCAGATACAAGACTTGTCGTCCGCAACCTCCACCAAACAACTGAACTGACATCTGCGTGATCTGATGAACGCAGCCTTGATCCTAAAATGGCTCCAGGCGGTTTCTGCGGGTGTCGTCCGATGGCGGGCGTCTTCGATGGCTCCCAAGCACTGTGGATTCGTTCATCGACTGCGAGCACCGACATTTGGTGGGACTGCAGCGTGCAACCTCTCATCAATCCCAGTGACAGCTTTTCCCTGAGGCCACCCAAGGAGGCCACGAACAACCACACCGATCTCGCTGGTGTGCGAACGGCCAGTCAAGGGGCTACACGAAGCAAAAGGACCAAAACCTCTGGCGGAATCGAAGACTTGGCGTGTAGCCTACCTGAGGAGTTGTGGCTAGCTTGCTATCCTTGGACTCAACCAAGAAAGAACCGACCCCGGTGCCTAGTAACTTATGATAGTAAACCATAAGTGTGCATTGTTTTAGTCATTTTGGAAAAACATGTTTTGTGAAATGACACTTTCTCAACTTCACAGATCCCAACATACACTTTTTGGTATTTCACAACATTCCAGACATCTTACGTCTTACATGAGAAAACGGATCCACAGGGTTCCCAGCCACCAGGCTCAAAAGAAACACCAAACAACAAGAGCGGAAATACCCGGACAAAAATATGGCCCAAGTTTGTCAGGTTTGAAGGAGGAAGACACGATCGCACTTTTCACTCCTGATGACACTTTCGCTTGAAAGAGTACTTTTTTGCTTCCAAATCAGCCGATGACAAAATGGCAAGGTTGGGTTTTCAAGGTGTGCGTTACAAGCTGGCGACCACACATCGAACGGCCACGCCTTCCGACAAGAATACTGCTCCCAACAAGCCAAGCCCAATGCCGTGCATGCAGATCAAACACGGCTGAGCCTTCTTGCAGGAGGTGTAGCCCAAATAGATGGTGGTCGAGGACGCCCAGACCTTGCTGCTTCGACGCCCTGCGGATCCGTTTCACTGGGACGACCAGGGGGTGGCGACACATACCACTCACCAAGAGAGCTGGGCGGCCAAAAGGGGTGGGAACACTTATTAGGAGCAAGGACGCTACTAGGGGCTCCTGGCATCGCTACTAGGAACAAGAAGCTACTACTACTAGGGGCTCCTGGCCTTACTACTAGGAGCGATCGGACGCTACTAGCTTCCAGAGAGCGCCCCAGAGACGCTTCCTGTGCACTGGTGTCCACCAGCGTCGTCCTGGTGTCCCTCCACGCCATTCGTCCGAAACCATGGTTCTTTCAACGCCCCGTCGTCCGACATGCTGTGCCAACTTCCAGCCCTTTGGTGTTTGATCCTCGTCCTCCCGTCAGCTCTGGATCGCTCCGCATCGCTCCGCTCCGCCCCGTCTTCTTCTTCGCGCGAAGACGAAGGACTTCCAGTAAACCAGAACAGGTGGTGAAAGCAATCCCAACGTGGATCCCAAAACGGAAAGCATGATAAAACAACGATCCTACATGATCCTACGTCTAATTTGTGTGAATTCCTCTGGACAATTCACATGCACATCTTTTTCACCCTAGGGGTTTGCGTGCTCTTTTTGTTCGAGCACTCTCAATTACTGAAAGCAGAATCCTTGGTTACATCAGGCAGTAACTCTTCACTGGGATCCACTGGAATAAGGACCAGCCTCCATTTGGAAGCAATTTCTCAGTACTGGCTCCAACAACTGGTCATTTACTTTGTATATCTTTTTGGGGGTGTTTGCTAATTCACAACCTTTTTGACACACCCCGATGCCCAGGGGTTGTGCGGTGAAACTATTGATCTGGTCGACTCAGGAAGGCGCTGGTCGATGGCTATCCACACTGATTTATATGCGTTTGTGTGCTTGCGTGCCTGCGTGCCTCCAAACCGACATGTCTTTGACATGTTGGCAGCTGCTGGCTGGTTGAATTCTACCAACATCAACAATACAAATCAAAAGTGCTCTCCAAGTGTTCACACTCAAAGCAAGAGTTCTTCAAAAAACGCCAGTGAACACATCATATCATATCATCACCAAGATGTTCTGTATGTTGACCGCATCATCGGCAGATCTGATTGAAAACGTTTGAAACCATATTCGGCCCACTGAACTCGTCCGGAGTCAACTCACTGAACCATGCAGTCGGGATCGCCCTCACCTGGCGACGAACTCCACGAGGGTCATGTGCCGTATGTCTTGCAAAAAACAAACATTATTAACCCGGCAAGAGACGCCAAACAGTGACAGTGTTGAGTATGAGAAGACAAGAGTGAATAAACATGAATAAACCAATTTCCGCACTTTAACGCAAAGGTATGAGAGCATACACATGAAAATACATAAATTACTATATGAGTATGAGAGAAGGAGTAGGGCGAACACACATGAGACCACACACATGAACGCACACATGAGAGCACACTTGCGAGAACACACGTTTGAAAGCACACACGTGAGAGCACAAACATGAGAGCACACCAAAAAAAAAAAAAGGTGTCAGAACACTTGAGAGCACATGAAAGCCCACACACATGTGAGAGCATGGGCATGGGTGAAGAAACATATGAGCGCACGCATGCGCACGCGCATGAGAGCACAGCGCACTTGCGAGTGCCCACAAATGACAGTACACATAAGAGCACGGATAATATATGAGTGAGCAAACACATGTGAGCAAACGCATGAATGCTCACATATTTGAGCACGGGTGTGAGGAAACACACGTATTAGAGCACGCATAACTGAGAGCCCACACATATGAGAGCACACCTGTGACAGACCTGTCTTCGAGCACAAGTATGTGAGCAAGCACATGACAGCACACATGACACTTGCCGCCAAAACCAAAAACTTTGGCGGCCGGGCGAGCAAAGTAACTTAGACGAGTGCATCATATGATGCACTTGGGTTGTCCCCTGAGGTGAAACAAAACACAACAACAACAACAACAACAACCACAACCACAACCACAACCACAACCAGTAGAGCAAAAAACACACAACAAGAAAAAGCATAGAAAGCCAGAAAAGCAGGAATAAAGCAACACAAACTCAAGGCTTGAAAAGCAACTAATACAAAGCGACGGCAGCAAAGGCCATAGCAAGAAAAGGCAATTATATAATACAGGGACACAATACGCCACAAGAAGAACAGAAGCAGTAAACTAAAGAAACGCAAAAGAAAAGCAAGGAAGAGCAATAAGGCAGCAAGACAAGCACAACACAAAAAAAACATGATAAATCATAGAGAAGCAAGAAATGAAACAAAACGCATTTACAAAAGATAGCCACCCTATACAATATATTATATATAACCCTAAGAACCCCTAGTGCGACCACTGCGTTTGGGGAAAACAAAGCAGAGTGACCAGACTTCGTAAGATCGGCGATGAAAAAAGGCGACCTGATGTCCCCGTCACTTTCCCCCGCATCCACACTACAAAATGTCTACCCCAGAAGGGGTTTGCAGGCCCCATCATCCAGGTATAGGTGTTTCATGTGGGGAGGAAAATCCCCACATGAAAACCCAGTCGGGGTTTCACTTGATTCCAAGAGCGAACCTGCTTAAACATCTTGAAACTTGGGTTTCTATTGACCAACCCTTGTCTCTTGGTCGAATGCACCTCCTTGGTCAGGATGTCACTGGATAATTGGATAAAGGTTTTTCTGTTATTCTGGGATCTTGCCGAGCCCGGGAAACGCAACCATACGATACCATACGCAGCTGGAGGAACAATATCCAGGTTCACAGCTGCAGCTGCAACAGAATCAAAGTGCAAAGAAAACAATCTCAATCCTTAAACCAGGTGCACCACGTACCCCCTCATATACCTTCAGAATCAAGCGAGAATGCAACCATGATATGGAGTTAGATCGCAAAAGCCTTCAATTGAAGGCCCTATACAACATCAATCACAAGAGCCTTCCACAGAGCGGAGGGCGTTTCTCCCTCAAGCGCACCTGCGGCACCACCAGGACCTGCGGCACCACCAGGACCTGCGGCACCACCAGGACCTCCGGCACCACCGGCAGCGGCCAAGGCCACGCCCAAGAGCATCATACCTTCGAGGCCTTCCATATCCTTTTCCAGACCTCGACATCGAGGGCGCCAAAAGGATCAAAGCCACCGAGATGTCGGGCGTTTTTGGGCGCCGAGACGCTTTCGGGAACTCGGCGCCGGTGCGGCACACCAAAGCACATCACCCTAAACACTTCATGTACGGGCATATTCAGGGGTCGATGTAGTTCGCATTCTGTTTCACCAGCACTTTAAGGGCTAAACGCTTCAACTGAGCCACCCTCCAGAGCCACGCAAGCGCCCTCCATCTCTTTGATGCCTTGGGCACGTTCAAACGCCGTGCGTTTGGCTCTGCCAGCCCGTTCGCACACCTGGTGGCCATTCTTCTGGAACGTGCTTGGAGGTGGTTGCTTCCCCCAAAATCTCATGCAAAAACATTGCCAAAGGCCCTGTGGCCAAGCAAGCCGACCGATTCGCCGCTTCCGGACGATGTGAGCCACTGCAAGAGAGCTCCTTGGACAAGTCTTCGAGCCTATAACTATAGGAGTGGTTTGCTGAGTGACATCCCCATGCAATTCTAGGTTATCGTCCTGTGATCGTTCCGGTCATCTATTTCGACACACGTGCACACACACAAGTCAAGAAGCATCGCACCTCACAACGTATCTGTTGTCGCTTGTCGCGTCTTCGTGCCCCTATCGGAGATCTTCTCCAGGGTAAACTGAGCATTTACCACCAAATCAACCCCATATATGGCATACATGGAGTGTCTGGGAACAGGATATCCAAAAAGGAGCTGCCGTTGGAGCTGGCCTCATGGAGCACTCCAGTGGAGCCGTCTGGAGCAGTTGAGAATTGCTTCGACCGGGGCACCGGCCCAACGATCGAAACAACATTCGACTGGTGCGGTTTTCGTTGCAAGGAATTGGTTGTTGGCGTGGAATTCTCAGGTATCTCTATATAATATGTATCTGTCTCTTCTCTAAAATATACATATATATATCCATATGTATATCTATCCGTATATATATATATATATCAGTCTGTATCTGTTCGTGGGGGGTCATTGCATCATTCCTTACTAATTGGGTACCAGTCTAGTCTTGGATTTGCAAGGAACCAACACACAAACATAATTAAGAGAACATATTCCCTTCCGAAGAGTATCCCCCAGTTCGGGACAATAAACAACAAATCATCCTATGCCAGTCGCTAGTCTAGTGCAGGCCTTCTGAAAGGTCCGCCGGATGTGTCCATGGTTTCGAACTCCGGTTGGCACCGCTTGGGTGTGGGTGTGCCTGGCCATTCCACCATAAGACTCCGGTTTAGCACGGCTTAGGCTAAGCCGCACCGGTGTGAACTCCGCCATTGCACCATGGAAACTCCGCCCTTCGGCCAGTCCCAGTCCCAGTCGCCCATCTCGATGTCCTCGAGGGTTCCGCCCAACTCTTGGCTGTTGAACTCCGCCGCACGCATGGAGTCTTCAATATGCAAACCTGGCGAACGAAAAGAAGTCACCGGTGCCTTCCCAAAAGGACAGTCTTAAAGAACCCAGTGGAGATTCATGAAATGAATGACCAAGGGCCCAAGATGTTTGATCGTATTTGATCATCCCATTGGATTCTGGTCGGTTTGGTATGCTTTGATCTTTTTTAAAATTTTTGTGAACCCCCAGCCACCAGTGGATACTGTCCAAATGTGCGCCACTGGTCCTCCAGGTCCTTTCTCAGGTCTGCCCGTGAACCATCAGCTTCATCCAGTCTTCCTTCCCATCCCGGCTCGGTTTCACCATGCCATGGATCACCGGGGTAAAACGGCAACCACCCCGGAGGTGAACACAATCATCCCGGCACCAACATCAACAACCCGCGTCCAACAAATTGAAGGCATACGAGAAAAAATCAAGCACATCGTCCCCACATCAACGGAGATTCAATGAGTG